TTAACTTTTTTTTAATTTATCCGCGCAAGTTAAATAGATCATCGAATACTCAAATTAAAGTACCCAGCGAGCTGATAGTCAGCTATCTGCAGACATTGCTACGAACGATCAAAAGTATCGAAGTTAAAAGTGCACATCGTCTTCACGTTTTATTTAATTTCAAGATAACCACGCAAGATAATTATATAATTAAACAATAATCCTAAACTGGGAACTCTCGTCTTTCAAATGAACCAGCTGAAAACGTTCTAGCAACGGTATTTCAATTGTGTAAGGTGCTGAAAATTATCGAAGTTTTGTGCGAATATTTTCAAATTTAATTTTTCAAAAATTTGTTTATTATAGGCAACCAAATATACAAGCCATTTGTATGTTTGGTTGCGGACGAATATACACAACATGGAAAATGACGACTTTGAAAACTGCCTGTATTTTCTCAACCACCAGCTCCCAAAAGAAATTTGAACATGAATCTTGATCTTGAATATACAGAGTAAAAAATAAGCGTAAATATAGGTTTGTAGCTACAATGGATTCCTCATACTTAAGTAACAAACTATGCTATTTGGCAAGTGACAAATGATAAAATACCGTCTTAGATAATGGTCTGTATTTTCGTAAACAGCAGCTCCCAGAAGAATATTGGACATGGACAGTTGATCTTGAATATACACAGATTAAAATAACGTGAATATAGGTTTGTAGCTGCAATGGTGTCTTCATAATTACTTAAGAAAGTTTGTCATTTTACAAATGAGAGATGGGGAACCACAAGCCAACGTTTGTTAATTATGAAGAAGGCATGCTAACTACAATAATATATTTATAATCATTTTAATCTCTATATATTCAAGATTAATATTCTATACTCTTGAAGGAGCTGATTATTAAGAAAATACAGGTCATTTTCGAAGACGTTATTTTTCCATCACTTGCCAAATACCAAAGTTTGTTAATTAATTATGAAGAAGCCATTGCAGCTGCAAACCTATATTTACGCTTATTTTTATCTTTGTATATTCAAGATCAACATTCATGTTCAAAATTCTTCTGGGAGTTGATGGTTGAGAAAATACAGACCATTTTCGAAGACGTTATTTGCCTATCTGTCATTTGCAAATACCAAAGTTTGTTAATTAAATACGAGTAAGTAATTGCAGCTACAAACCTATATTTATGTTATTTTTATCTCTGTATATTCAAGATCAACATTCATGTTCAAAATTCTTTGGGAGCTGGTGTTGAGAAAATACAGCCATTTATGCTTATTTTTATCTCTATTATTCAAATCAACATTATGTTAAAATTTTGAGTGTTGAGAAAATTGCCATTTTTATGCTTATTTTTATCTCTGTATATTCAAGATCAACATTCATGTTCAAAATTCTTCTGGGAGCTGGTGGTTGAGAAAATACAGACCATTTTCAAAGACGTTATTTTCCCATCTGTCATTTGCAAAATACCAAAGTTTGTTAATTAATTATGAGGAAGCCATTGCAGCTACAAACCTATATTTACGCGTTATTTTTATCTCTGTATATTCAAGATCAATATTCATGTATCAAATTTCTTCTGGGAGCTGGTGCTTGAGAATATACAGGCAGTTTTCAAAGACGTTATTTTGTCATTTGCCAAAGAGCAAAGTTTGTTACTTAATTATGAGGAAGCCGTTGTAGCTAGAAAACTATATTGGAGGTCATTTTAATCTCTGCATATTCAAGATCTATATCCATGTACCAAATTCTTCTGGGAGCTGGTGGTTGAGAAAATACAGGCAGTTTTCAAAGACGTTATTATATCATTTGTCATTTGCCAAAGAGCAAAGTTTGTTACTTAATTATGAGGAAGCCGTTGTAGCTAGAAAACTATATTGGAGGTCATTTTAATCTCTGCATATTCAAGATCTATATCCATGTACAAAATTCTTCCGGGAGCTCGTGTACACGAAAATACAGGTCATTTACGAAGACGTAATTTTTCAATCTGTCATTAGAGTAACGTCAAAGTTTGTTAATAAATTATGAAGACACCAGTGGAGCTACAAACCTATATTTATACTCATTTTAATCTATATATATTCAAGATCAAAATGCATATCTAACATTCTTCTGGGAGCTGGTTATTAAGAAAATAATCGCCATTTTCTATAACGCTATTTTCCAATTTGATCACCAAAGTATAGTGTATGATTGGTTGCCAGCACTTTAGGCGTAAAATGAATATTTCGTTTTTTGTGGTAGCTAACGACATCTCTTAGCAATATAGCAAAGGTTATAGTTCGGGCATTTTGGCGCTGTACAAAATTCACTTCCTAAAAGGCGCACTAATTTATATAAACAAACGATTTAAAAGAACGATTAAACGAATATAATGTTATTACTTGAAGCCAATAAGAAATAGGCTAATTAATTTTCGAGTTACATGCGTTTAAATTAAGATTGGTAGAGCCATCTGTCGGAATTTTCAGGAACTATAATTTGAATTAAGTTGCGCAGGGGTGAGTACCGCACTAGTAAATTTCAAATAATTTAATTAGATTTGGTCATTATTATGCAATGTTTATAATGCAAACTGAATGAAGAACAAAGAATTCGATCTTTTCCTTCTTCAATGCGATTGTTTGGCAAACTGTATGGCAATATTTGAGTTGAACATGTTAACTTCGATCAATCATCGAAGATTGTTTCTCTTCAGAAAAGATAGAACAGAGATTGCATGTTACTATTGTTATTGTTTTAGGAGGTGCACTCATGCTAGAGAGATGTGTGCTTAAATTCCTTTTAATTGCAAAAAATGCAGACTTTTGCTTTTACAAGATCCTTAGTGACTGGATACCTTTTCGAAGTGCCAGGTTTAGTGAAAATATTGGTAAATCAAGATAATTCATACTCTCATCATCAAGACAGAAGTTTTCCATGATGCTTAGACATAGTAAGTTGAATAATGTTTATAAAAAACCAAGAGACTTTTTTATTTCTCTTTTAGGAAGATCCAATGGTGCTCATCAATGTTTGCTACCTAATGCATGATCATCAGACACAGTCTAACAAGTATGCATACCAAATCCAGTGAAGATAGAAAGAAATCAGTAAGCTGAATTTGTATCTTAAGGCATTGGTGATTCCTTCTTTGTATACGAGGACACCCATGAATCTATTGTTAGAGATTGGAAAGCAATTTTATGGATCAATCGTTTTCTACTAAAGTTTTCATAAAAAAAAGTTACTGGAAAAGTGGCTTTTTCTCTGTTATGTAAAAACCATTATGTATTCGTTCCTACATAACATCTCATGAAATATACCTATGTAACTACTTATGTAATTATAAAATATATGAAAGTTCTATAGTTCTGAGTTATTGTTTTTTTTGGAAATCTTATTAGAAAATCCATAGAAATTTCAACGAATGGATGACTTCAGAAAGCTGCCAGTGGGCTCGTTGGAAACATAACACTTTCAGCTTTAATTTGAGTACTTAATGATCTATTTAATTTATGCGACTATTAAGAAATTAAAATCAAAATGAAGACATCGAAAATCGTCATTTCTTGATTACGCATTTAGCAATAAATAACTGTATCAAACACACACAAATATTATGCAATCTCTGAAAATCATGAAAAAGGTAAAACTTGATCTGTATGTGATGGTGACTCCTCATACAAGAGAAAACGCTTTTAGCCTGTGCCTTCGGTTAAGAACAAAATTCATTTTACTGATTTTCCCAAATATTCACTGCATCTGGTACTGAGATATGTTATCCTATCTCTAAGGATTGTCTGGGAGCTAACAATAGATTCATGAGTCTCCCTTGTCCTCCTGAAGGAAGAAATACTTTTATTCTATTTCTGGGGTTTTAATCAAAGTTAACTTTTTTGATTTTCCAGTATTTTCACTGCAGCTTCCACTCACAATTGTTAAACTATGTCTAAGGAACATATATGAAGCAACAATATATTCATGGGTGTTACTGAATCCTCCTGCAAGAAGAATTACTTTTAGTTTCAATCAATGAAAATTTATATTTTCGATTTTCCAGTATTTTCACTGCACCTGGCACTCAGGTGTGTTATACTATCTCTAAGTATCATCTAGGAGGCAACAATAGATTCATGGGTACTACTGAATCCTCCTGAAAATAAAAATACTCTTAGTTTAATTCTGGGATTTTGATGAAAATTTTACATTACGTTTTTCTAGTAATAATATCACAACACCTGAAAATAGTATAGTCTCTAAGTATCAGGATGAAGTCTACAATTCATCCAATTTGTTAGTTATTATCGATTTACTTCAGGAAGTAATGTTTTTGATCACATTCTGCAGTTAAAGTTTCAACTATTTACAAATGGAAACTGCTAGTAAACAATCTCTTCCACTTTCTGTAGAACTCACTCTTTGAAAGTCAACTGTACTCTTGCAGCTGTCACCTACACCTAAAATAAAAACAAATTTATCAATCGATTTCTGACTTGTCTATTTAACTTTTGGCTATTAGCAATTAAGGCAACCACTTATATGAAGACACTGCATCAGTTTATTATATGTAAAATGATTTGTAGTATTTTCCATAGCCTCTGGATATATCTTTTCTGTAGATAAATAACTTTAGTCATCTATGGTTGTTAACATGTTGCAACGGTTCTAGCTCGAAGTGAAATGTGGTGCTTAAAGAAAAGTTATCCATACAAGAAAGTAGTAGAAGGAAGCATGGAGCATGTTCTTCATTAAGTTTGCATTCAGAACAGTGTAGAATAAACAGGAAATCCAATAAAGACCTTTGAATGTAATTTGTAACAGTTGCTGTCACACTGACAGTAGCTGTCAGATTGACAGTTCGCTCACTCACACAAACGTAAGTGACTGTAGCATTAGGACTACCGTTGCATTAGAACTACCGTTGTATTGGAACTACCGTTACTAGGAGCTCAGATACCTCCTCGCTACTCCTGGTCTCCTGATGCAAATCGAAATTTTATGTCATTTTCGGGATTCAAGGGGGAGGGACTTGCGTTGCGATTCGCGAAAACCGCGGACACATTAAACCTTAATAACTTTCTTATTAATGGACCAATATTAATTTATTTGATAGCAAATGAAATGGTAAGAATGATTCTCTAAAACTGTAAATTCAAATTTTTAAAACAAATATTAAAATATCCATTTATTTAGCGATTTTATCGAAATGAGGCAAAATACGTTTTTTTTTTAAATAAATCGATAGACACTCGTTTTAATTTATTTATCAAATATGTATTTTCATTGATAAAGGTATGGCCTATCCATTGAGACCATTCGCAGATTCGTGGTGTATACCATTCTATTGTTATAAGCAGTCAAATGTGTGAAAGTAGAACGTTCTGAACAAAGTTTTTAACATTTCTATGTTGAAAATTAGTAGTAAATAGTTTAAACAATGAACATTTCGATGAACATTAAATTGCGTAATGTTAGCTCCCTTTTTATATAATTAGAAACTAGGTAATTCTAGAATTTCGTATTTGAATTTTGCGTGAAAGAAGTTGCCGATTTCGAATCCTTGCAGCGCTCTTGCACTCCTGAACTCTTCAAGGATTCCATCGAACAGATGGAGCTGCAATCCACGATTTCCCCTTTGCGTATTTAAAAAAAATTATATTACGATCCACCTAATTGGCAATCATTGTCCAACAATTAATAAACTTTATTGATTGGAAATTTGAATGAATTATGGCAATGAAGAAAGACGAAATATAATAAATATCGAATATTTATCGCTTCCATCGATTCATTATTAATCGGCTGCCGGAACTTGTCGAAATGATGAGCAATAAAACTGTTGATGATCGCGTCCAATTCAATTCATTATAATCGAATTGAATATTCATGACTTTCTTCCGCAATTACGAGTTGCGCAATTTTTTTTGTTCGGACAAAAATCGAAGGAGGTGAAGAAGGAAGAGCGACAAAGCGTCCACTCCACTTCGAAGCACTTTCGAAGAGCTCGTGAGAGAATCCAAAATGATTGCACGTTACACAATTTTGCAAATGAACATGTAATTGAAACGAAACAATAATTGTTCGAGTAACGCTAACGTTACATAAACGATCATCATTATTATTATGATTAACATAATTTCAATATTAGAAAACGTATTTGTATTATTTATTGAAAAATCGCAATTTTCACTCCACTTCTTGCTTGAGTTACCACCACAATCCATAAGCAACAATTCAGCATTGAATTAAAGATCTTTACGTTAATTATGGAATGATCAATTTGTAAATTGAAAAAACCTTCATAGAAGAGCGATTTATTTAATGTTTATCATTAAAAATGTGAAATTTCAAGGTTTCAACTAAATTTGGTATTGCGGATTTTAAACGCGAAGAAAGTGTTAGAAATTACGAAGTGAGAAATGTTTTGGGGAATTGTTCGATTATTCTCGATGAGATTACTAAAAATTTAGAAACTTCGTTTACTCGCTCATGTAATGCCCATTAAAGCGTTGGTAACCATGGTAATTACATTAGAGTCGTGATGATTTAGTGTGAAAGAAGTAAAGAGAATCGAATCGACGACAGTCGTAATCGAAGGAAACTTGTGAAACGTTCGGAATTGAATCTCCGGAATTTGTACATTTCGACAGCGGAATTCGTCCGAAAACTCTCTCGCAATGTTGCAAAGATAAATAAATCATACATCTCTTCCGATTTACGTAACTGGGGGAGCGCGCTTCTAGTGTGCACACTTTGCGACAAAAGAATCTTAAAGCGCGCGTGTTTTTCGAGTTTTTGACGCGGAAGAGCAGCATTCCGATCCTCTCTTCTACCCAAATAATTTATTGTTATTAGTGAATTATTCAAATCGCCGAAATGTTACATGTTTTATCGTTCCGTTCGTCGCTTACGTAACGTTAAAAGCTTTGTTGTTGCATCCTTTTTTTTTTTTACAAAAATTATAATCAAATTTATTCGAAATTTGCTGAATTTGCGTTTATTAAATACATTTTTTTCTTGTTTTCTTTGATATTGTGGACTAAGTTTAATATTATTACAATCCATCATCCGCTAGAATGTCAATGACGTCTTTTCTACATCCTAGAAGAAATCAAAATTTAAATTAATCAATCAAAACACACGTAAAGTTTACAGTTACAATTGAAATTAATTGTTGCATTGTAACGAGTCTCATAATCTTTAGTAATTATTGCAATGAGACATTCGTATTAATTGATATTTGCATTTTTTTTTTGTCGTTGCATTCATTTACCCGATTACCTGATTTACCTGCCTCATGCGTTATTCAGTTCGTTTCACGAACAAAAGTTATATAATACGGCAACCTTGATCCGCATTTGCTGTAACCATAGTTACATGATAAATTATATGTCAAAGTCATGCGTTTGCTTCTAACCGTTTTCGCATTCAATTTATTAACCTCAACAATTTTGTTTATTTTCATTTATTTCATAAAAAAAACAAAAAAAAATATTATTTTTCACCTTTTGTTTTTCGTTGTTGTTTATAAACAAATGTTAAAATTTCTGTTTTGTACAAAATTTTGTTTTATTTCTTTTGTTTTTAAACAACAATTTTCAATTGGAATAAGACACGAACCTTCTTTTAAAGTTTTTTTTTTGTTTCGTTTGAAATTTTTGATCAATTTCATTTTTGTTTTGTTTCAAAATTTGTGTGTTTTGATCAAGTGAACACGAACAAATTGCGAATTGTTACATCGATTTTGTTTCTAAATAATCACCGTGCAACTGTTGCTAATACGATGTCCATTGTTTTCTAAAAACACAATCGCCATTCAACTGTCGAATATGGATGCGCCAATTGGTTGTTTAATCGAAGCGGCTTCTTTTATTCGCATTTCTTCTTCTTTTTTTTTTCATTCGTTTCTTGCGAAAAAGCAATTTTCTCGCCACCGCCGACGTCTGCGTTTACTGTTACTGTTATGGTGCTGAAAAGATCGGTCGGTGAAGTAAAAAAAAAAACAAAAAAAAAGAACAAAAACAAAGCCAACGCGTTATGTAATCGATATAATTTCAATACACATAAAACAACATTCTATTTCCACATATATTTACATTTTACTCCAGAACGCAACGACCACCACCAGAGGCGAACGGTCTTCTGCATATCGTTTACATTTTTTTTCTGCTTGTACGCTATTTTCCACAACCCGATACACATTTCTCTGCTCGTAATCGACTTTATGTAATCGAATTACCGTTTTTCTCGCTACCTGTTTGTTTCTTCTCTCTTCGTTTGTTCGCGCCTCCAGGAATTGGTTTCCGCGGAGACCTTGATTACGGTGCAGCTACCGCTACAACCGCTGCTGCTGCTTCAATTACGTAGGCAAATTTCGAAATTTTGCAGGAAACTGTACTCAATTTTGATGATTCTATGAATAAATAGTAAAAAAAAGAGAAGAAAACAATTGAAGAAAAAAAAAACGGATTTTTATTAATAATTCGCAAAGTCTTTCGTGGATTTCTCGACAACCCCTTAAGATAATTACATCATCGACCACTCGTATGAAAGCTGAAAGTCTCACCTTTCCAACGAGCCTACTTACATCTTCGTGTTGTCATCAAGTCTCCTGATATGATCTATAGAAAATGAAAAAACAGAGAAACAAAGTTTTTT